TTGACCCCCCCTCCGGTGACCATTGTGTTTTTTCAATTGAAGTTCTTCCCCCGGGGCGCGCACCCTGTTTTTAAGCAGGGAAAGTCCATAGGCTCAAACTGCGTTGTTGGCCCCCGAACCACAACAACAACGGCTCCCGCAATGTATTCCCAAATCGCGCTCACGCGCGGGACTTCCTCACAAGTTATTCAGGAGTCGCGCTGTCGCGTGGGATTTCCTCGCAATTTATTCAGACGCCGCGACCTCGACATTCAGGAGTCACTCTCTCGCTGTGGATTTCCTCACGATTGATTTGGGAATCGAGCTGTCGCTCGAGACCTCCTCGCGATTCATGCAGGACGCACGCTTGAGCAACCCGCCTGGTAGGGTCTACCCGCCCGATCTTCCCGTCTGGTTTTGCCATGTGCTTTCTGCTCCTAGCCCGTGATCCATCCTTCTCCCTCCCCCTTGTCCTTCCTTCCATCCGTCCTCTCTTTCCCTACCTCAGGGGCTACGCGAAATACACGTTGCAGGTAAGAACGATATACCCCCAAAAGGGTACGGTCGAGGACGAAGAGGGCGGGTATCGAGTGTTCGGGAGATATACGTGTTGAATGGCACGCGAGCGGATAAGAGCGAGCAGTCTCAACATGTTTGTTGCTGTTGTTGCTGCTGTTGTTGTTGATGTTGTTGTTGTTTTGGATGGAAGTGATGATGGTCATGCTGCTGCTGATGATGATGATGGTGATGATGATATTGATAATGATGGTGAGGATGCTGGTGATGAGGATGTTGATTATGACGGTGGCGATAGTGATGATGATGATGATGATGATGACAACGATGACGATGGTGATGCTGACGATGATGATCATGATGATGATGCTGACTATGATTATGATTATGATTATGATCATGATTGTGATTATGTTGATGATCGTGCAAATGGTGATGATGCTGATGATGATTCTCATGGTGATGATGATGATGCTGTTGCTGCTGCTGATGCTGCTGCTGAGGATGATTGTGATGATGATTGTAACGACGATGTTGATGACGATGATGATGTTGATGAAGATGATGGTGATTGTGATGGTGATGCTGATGATGATGCTGATGACGATGCTGATTATGCTGCTGCTGATGAGGAGGATGATAGTGGCGACGACGATAACGACGAATACGGACGATGATGACGATGCTGCTGCTGATGATGATTGTGTTAATGGCGATGGTGGTCATGATGATGACGATCATGATGATGATGATGGCGATGATGATGATGATGATGATGATGATGATGATGATGATGATGATGATGATGATGAAGACGAGGCTCAGGATGAGGATGAGAAGGAGGATGATTACGAGGAGGAGGATGATGATGCTGCTGATGATGCTGCTGATGATCACGATTCTGATGATGACGATGATGATGATGATGATGATGATGGCGATGAGGATGATGATGATGATGATGATGATGATGATGATGATGATGATGGTGGTGATGGTGATGGTGATGGTGATGGTGATGGTGATGATGATGATGATGATGATGATGATGATGATGATGATGATGATGATGATGATGATGATTATTCTGATATTGCGAATGCTGATGCTGATGCTGATGCTGATGCTGCTGCTGCTGATGATGATGGCGATGTTGCTTAATCGGATGACGATGAGCAGGACGATGCGAACGACGTGTGTGATGTCGATGACTGTGGTGCTGAGAATGGTGGGCATGAGGAGAAATAAGAGGAAGGCCGTCACACGTGACACCTGGATAAATTCGCTTGTGGGAGCTTATTGGGGCCGTCCTGGGGTTGTCCTGGGCTCCTGTGGAGCAGTCTTGGAGTACCCTGGGGTCCTCTTGGGCTGTTTTTGGGTTCTCTGGAGCCGTCTCGTGGCCCTCCTCGCCGTCTGGACGGTCTCTTCTGGCACTTTGAGGCCGTCTTTGGCCGTCGACCGGCCCTCGCAGATCGTCTATCTTGGAGGCCTCCTGGGCCGGTTTGTACCGACGAAGGCCCGAAAAGGCGAGAGCACCGCAATGCTTCACAACTTGAATGCGAATCAGCTTTTTTGGCATCCTCGGGCCCTCCGGCGAAAGTGCGGCAAGGCATGGTGTTTGCCAAATTTTCAACCCATCTATACTATTGGTTTCCTCTGGTGCAATTTCGTCTACACCATTATGTGTTGTTGGGTCCTCGTTTTGAAGAGAAAGCGAGCGCCCCGCGCCACTCCTTCCCGCTGCCCCCTGCCTTGCTTGTCTCCTTATTTCAGCCCTCCGCATGCAGAACGCGCAAATGGTAGGGTTTGCATGCCTGGCCACGATGATTCTGGCACGCTTCTCACACGTTTCGTGGTCCCATCGGAGCTCCACAGAGGGCCCACATGGCAGTGCTCGTACGCCTGGCCACACCCATTCTGGCATTTCGGCGCACCAGCACACGTTTCGTAGCTCCATGGGATATCCACAGAGGGCCCACCTTGCAGGGTTCGTCTGCCTGGCCACGCCGTTTCTGGCAAACCATTCACGCGTTTCGTGGCCCTAAGAAGGCCCTCGTGGCAGTGCTCATACGCCTGGTCACGCCCATTTTGGCTCTCATGTTTTGTGGCACCATCGAGGCTTGACAGAAGGTCCAAACAGCAGGGCTTGTATGCCTGACCACACCAATTCTGGCTCACCTTACACGCTTCGCGGCCCTATTAGAGCTCAGCAGAGGCCCGACTGGCAGGCAGGGCTTGTACGCCTGAACGCGCCCGTTTTGGCAAGCTTCTCACATGCTTCGGAGTTCCATGGGACTTCAACACAAGGCTCACATTGCAGGGTTTGTATGGCTGACCACGCCCATGCTGGCACACCCCTGACACGCTTCGTGGCTCCATAGGGGCTGCACAGAGCTCGTACGCCTGACAAAGCCCATTTCGCTCGTCCTTGCCGCGTTTGTCAGCTCCATAGGAGCTCCGCAGAAGGCCCAAATGGCAGGATTCGTGTGTCAGACGACGCCCATTCTGGGTCACCACTCGCACGTTTCGTAGCCCCATAGGAGTTGTACAACAGCAGGGCTCGTACGCCTGACCGCGCCCGCATATGGCACGCCCTCACGTGTCATGGCCTTATGGACGCTTCGCAGGAGGCCCACATTGCAGGTTACGTATGCCTGGCCACGACCATTCTGGCGCAGTCCATGAAGAACTGTCTGCGCCTTGCGCTTCACGCGGCTGCATATTGGTTGGCCCTTCGTCAGGCTAATTTTTGGGTGGCTGCGGCTTGTGGGCAAACGCCATTGGTTCGGAGCGGCAGATCCACCCAGCAACGAGTTACACTTCGTCAGTTGGGTGTAGAATGAGGAGCGCCGGGTCGTGCTCAACATGTGGTTGTGACACTGACGCCGCGCACATTCGTCATACACGTTTCCAGCAGCTACACGGATGGAGGAGGACAAGTGTTCGATATGTGGCTCTCGTCGAAGCCTCGCTGATATTTGTTTACGGACGATGGGAGATAATGGCGTTTTGAGATGTGGCTTTCGCCGTTTGTGCCGTGCACACACTCTTTGTTTCGAGAGTTGCAGGTTCAGGGCGGCTGTCTTTGATCATTGAGGTGTCTCGGTGCAGATCCGTGAGCTTGATGCTATCTAATCGGGGCGCTGAAGAAGGAACCCTTTTCGTTGGGGAGGGGCTCTGTGTTCCTTAACTGCTTCGCAGTTTGTCCCAGGTTTTCCCATGGTTTTCCACGGGAGATCGAAGTTTAGCTTTGGAAAAACGGGGCCTCGTTCCTCATTTAGGGTTCCTTAGGTGAACGCCCTGATTGCAATCCGCCATGCGTAGCTTACAGTAAGAAGCCAGGCGAAGGCTGGCAAACCCGTGGCTGCTAAAACGGAGCTCCAGGACATAGATTTCTTTCACAACAGGTTTTTTGTTTTTATTATTAGTGGGGTCAAGGCTTACAATCCAGGCGTTGACCTATGGATACGTCAATGAGGAACATGGCCCCTCGTTTCCACAAGTTACATGTCGATATCCCGTGGGAAACCCTAGGGAACCTGGGGCAACCTGCGAAGCAACTAAGTAACACAGAGCCCCTCCCCAATGAAAAGTGTTCCTTCTTCAGCGCCCCGACTGTAAGTCGGGTTTGTCCCTCTAGAGGAGGAGTATTCAAACAAAGTCAAATCATAGTCTGGGGCCGAGGATTCGATTATTTTTCTCCCCAAATCCCAAATCCGCCTGTAGGAGGGCATGCCCAACCGAAGTAAAGGCATGCGTGCGTGGATGTATGTGGGGAGGTGGGGCGAAAAGGTGTGTTGCAGCATCGTTGGTGCATGTTAGACCAACTTTGGCTCACCTCTCTCTCTGCCCTCCTCCTCCACAGGGATGGCCTTCGCCAGGCGCCCCTCTCCGATCACTGTCTCAGGCTTGCCCGCGTGACCGGAATGAGCTACCTGCCGTTGCCAGTCGCCTGTTCTACTCGAAGGTTCGTCTGCAGGAGTTCTTACACGCTTTTCTGGAAGAGGCTCGGATCGGTTCACCGCCTTCCCGCTCTTGTCCCTGGACGGCCTTGGGTATCCCAATGGAGTTCTGTAGCGTCCAACCTGTATTCCCATGGGTCCGCTCAAGTTCACGCTAGCATTCCAATGGAGCCCACTTGAGAGTATTTCAAATCATCCATGGGTACGCCAGTGGAGTCCCATGGGATTTCCAACGAGTGCTTCTCGAAGTATGTATGTTGGCAGCCAGCCCTAGTGGACATTGTCTGATGTTGCATCCCATGCCATTCCGGTGTTGATTCGCTAGGTAATATTTTGGCACGCCTGGCCAGTGCGAAACTGGTTAGTTGGAGGATTGACTCCCTGGGAAATCCAGTTCGCCTTTTCTGGGGTCGTGGAGTTAGCTGTACTGTGTGAACTTTGCGTGGTGGATATTTATCTCAGCGCGCGGTTTCGTTGTGGTCCTCGGCATGCGATGTTTGCCGTGACCCTGTGCCTCGCTTCATTAAAGATACGGCGCCACAGAAGCATGGACAGCATGGCTTGCTCGCGGACCCCGCCGACGAGGAGGGCGAGCCTGCTCCGGCAAATGCTTCAGGACTGCACGCTCTGTCCCATCTTCCTGCGTTGCCCCGCCTCTGTCCCTCCTGGACCTGTTGCCGAAGACATAATCCCGGCTGGCGGCAGTGCCCGAGGAATGGTGTCGAGGATGGCTGGGAAGAGGGCGACCAGAGGTGTAGGACCCTTGCGCCTACTCTTGGGCTCATCTCGGGCCCAGCTTTTGGGCTCTGGTTCCTGCGACCCGACCAGAGTGAGGGAGAAATAGGAGCGGGTTTGCGGATGTGGCTACTTAAGAGACATTGCCTTGTCTGGGCGTGACAGCGCCGACTTTTGTCGACGCGATTGGCCCAAGCAGCCATCCCCATTGTTTTTTTCTAGCGGGCACGGGCTCGCCCTGGCGTTCATAGAAGGCAGCACCTGGGGGGACGGCAGGTAACAGGTAACCCTGCCGCAGTACCGTCCCCGCTTTGACCCCCAAGTACGGAATAATTCAACAGAGTATACTTCACATTCTCTATATTCCGTAGCACCTATCGGAGGAGAGGCCTGACGGCCGGTTCCGCTGACACGGAAGGGGCATGCGGAGAAATGTCCCGGGAAGGTCGTGGACTCGTACAGTCAACCCGCACAGTAAGGATGGGCAATATACCCAAGGGTACCCTTGCATCCTTGCCGCTTCGGCCCGTCTTAGCGACTTTCGCTGGCCAACCTCGTTCGAAAAACGTTCCATTGAGTCTCCAAGGGCCTTGCCTCCTTACCGCGCATCCTTATGATACGGGTCAACTGTAAAGGCTCGTTCGATGTATTTCTGAGGTCCCCTGGGGCCTCGTAGGAGCGTCTCGGGGATCCTCCGAGGAAGTTCTCGGAGTCTTCAGGGGTCCTGGCTGGCGGTCTCGGAGATTATCTTCATAGAAATGGCTGGGAATCGCAGTTCGAGATCCTCTTTGGAGCCCCTCTTGGGGGCTTCTTGTGTCGTCATGGGGCCTTCTTGGGCCGTTTTGAGGCCCTCTTGGGGGCGTCTTCGGAGCCTCCTGGGCCCTCTGGAGGACGCCTTGGGTCGCCTTCGGACCCTCTTGGGCTGTTTGGAAGAGCGCTTTCTGTCGCTGCTGGCATCTGGACCCCCCCCTCTAGGGGGGGTCCAGATGGTCCTCTGGCATCTGTCGCTGCTGGCATCTGGCATCTGTCTCTGTGAGGGTGTCCGGAAGCCCTCCCCCACTTCCTCACGGGAGGATCAGTGGGGTGGTCCGGATAGCCCCCCTCCAGGGAAAACAGCTGGGGGAGGTTCAGGCCCTCCCCCGCAACGACGACGACGACGACGACGACGACGACGACGACGGCGGCGACGACGACGACAATGCACGACGCACGACGCCGATGCCGACGAGCCGACGTTGACGCCGATGCCGACGCCGACGACGACGCCGCCGCCGACGACGGCGACGACGACGAAGAAGATAAAGACGACGACGAGTACAGTAGAGTAGGCGTGCAGTAGAGTATCATAGAGGTAGAGTAGAGGGTAGAGAAGGGTTAGCAGGATGGAACACGGTCTGGTAGAATAGAGCAGGGTAGAATAGAGTAGAGTAGAGTAGAGTAGGGAGGTGTGGATCCTATCATATTAGAGTTGAGTCGAGTAGAGTAGAGTATATGGGTAGAGTAGAGCAGGCATAGAGAAGAGAAGAGTAGAGCGGAGCTGATTAGAGTAGAGTAGAGTAATATTGGATTAGAGTAACAGCAAAGTAGGGTCGAATAGAGTCTTTCAGGGTACGACATGGTCGATTCTGTAGGGTAGAGTGGAGTAGGGCAGAACAGTGTAAAGTAGAGTCGGGGATATATATATATATGTATTAGAGTCGAGAAATGATAGAGTAGAGTCGAGTAAGAGCAAGGTGGAGTAGAGTAGAGTATGTGAGGGAACGGTCGGTTCGAGTAGAGAAGCGTAGAGTAGAGGAAGGCAAACAGAGTTGAGTAGAGAATAGTAGATGGACAGGGCAGAACATACATGGAGTACAGTAGAGCAGAGCTGAGTAGAGTAGAGTAGGAGTTGAGTGGAATAGAGTAGGAACAACGTAGAGTAGAGTAGAGCAGAGTATGCTAGGGTACGGTAGGGCAGAGTAGGGTAGAGTAGAGTGCAGTTCATTATAGTAGAGTAGAGAAGGGGCAGAGTAGATTAGAGTAAGAGCAACATTGACAACACTAGAGCATGTTAGGGTGCGGTAGGGTAGAGTAGAGTAGTGCAGAGTAGATTAGAGTAGAGGAGAGTAGATGAGAGTGGAATAGAGTAGAGAAGCTCGTCTTTCGGCCACGTTCCACCTCTTCCTCTTCTTGCCTCCCTCTGCTTTTTGGAGTTGACCAAGGGTGCCCAACGCGCTGGTGACATTCCGTTGGAATGGCTTGCTCTCGTCCGATGCGTTCGCGCTGCGCCGACAAGGCTGCCTTCAGAATTGGTTTCGACCACGCACATGCCCGCCTCAAAGTCGGTCAGCTTTGGATGGCAGCTCCGATTGGCTTCCCCCTGGCCAGTGTTGAAGGCCTCCGGGTGGGCTCGTGTGGGCTTCCTGTGTGTGAGCTCGTGAGAACTGCTTCAGCGCAGTTTTATGAGGCAGTGCTGACTTTCCCTGGGCCCCTGGATCCGAAGAGTCTCGTCCGTGACGAAGGGCCAGGACCTTCGACATGTACACACCTCATGTATCGCTGGGTCCTCGCCCCCATCTCCTACCCCGTACTCCTCACATCCTGCTCCCTGCGCCTTCCCCCCTCCTCCCTCCTTCTTTCTCCCTCCTCTGCAATGGCACATTCTTGGTGCTACTGTTCTCTCTCCCCTGACTCTGCCTAGAAGATGTTCCTGTACGGCTTCCCACGAAGGGTTTCCCGCGTGGCTCATCGGCTGCTTCTGTAGAGTTCGATGGTCTTGGGTGTTGCAGAATGGTGCTCCCGCTGCAGCGTGGGCCTCATGTTCGGATCGGCGTTTTGCCCCCACCGTTTAGGTTCGCGCTCTCGCCCCAGCTCGGGCCACGTTTCTGGATCGGAGCCCCCTTTTCGTCGTTGCCGCCCCCCCCCCCCGCGTTTACCCTGTTCCGCCTTCCCCTTATTTTCGTGCTCCTCCCGCTCCTTCCGCTCCAGTGCCTGCTGCTGCTGTTCGTCCTCGTCGTCGTCCTCTTCCTCCTCGTCCTCCTGCTCCTCCTCCTGCTCCTCCTCCTCCTTTTCCTTATGCTCATACTCCTGCTCGTCTACCTCCTTCAATGTGCGCAGCTTCCCCTTTCCGAATGCGCATACCACGATGGGGTCATCTTTGGGGTCCCAGGGCCATTATGACACGAGTCGGCGGATAGAGAACAGGCAGCGCAATGGAACGGGATTGGTGGGCAGGGTAGCATGTCAGACATGGCGCGAGCGCGCCCAGCTTGCCTGGACCCCTCTCGGCCCCCCTATCCCCCTTCTTTTCCTTCCTTATGTCCCCCCCCCCCCGCGTCTCGTGCTCCTGCTCCTCCTCGTCTTCCCGCCACTTTGCCCACCTCCTGCTCCCTGCTGCTCCTCCTTGCTGTTGGCATTGTTCCACTCTGTAGTCGTGACTTTGCTTCTCCTTCTCCTCCCCATCCCCCTCCTTCTTGGGGGATCCTGCTCCTCCTCCTCCACTTCCTCCCCCATCTCGCTGCTCCTCATCCGTCGCCTTTCCCTCCCTCGTACTCCCCCGTGCATCTCCTTCCCCTCCTCCTGCTGCTCCTCCTCCTCCCGCTGGGGGGGGGGGGGTCGAGGCGTCTCGCTGCAGACCTTCGTCTGGCTGCTGGCCAGCTCGCGGCTCTTGAGCCAGGACTTCGACCACGGGCATGCGCTGCAGGCTGCCAGTTGGGCTGGGGGCCCTTCTGCTCCTCCTCTTTCCCCCCCCTCACCCTTCCTCCTCCTCCTCCTCCTCCTCCTCCTCCTCCTCCTCCTCCTCCTCCTCCTCTCCTCCTCCTCCTCCCCTCCTCCCCCTTTTCCTCCTCCTCCTCTTCCTCCTCCTCCTCCTCCTCCTCCTCCTCCTCCTCCTCCTCCTCCTCCTCCTCCCCCTGCTCCCTGTCCATCTCCGCTCCCGCTCCCACCCCCTCCTTCTCCCCGTCTCCGCGTCCCCCTCACGCACAAGGCGGGAGCTCGTCGGTGATTGTGTGATTGTGGATGGGGCTTTATCGGGGACGTTCGACCTCCTTCTCCTGCTCCCCCTCCCTCTCCTGCTCATTTCTCCTCCTCCTCGTCCTTCACCTCCCACCTCCTTCCTCCTGAGTGCGGAGCAAGTTCGGATCTTCATTCCTGGCTTCGGTTAGCAGACTCGGGCGTTTGCTGAGCAGTCCCGCCCTCTGTCGCCCCCTTGCCTTGCTCGGGTACGGAGTGCTCATTCTGAGGATGGCTTTTCTACCGTTTATCCTCCAGGGATCCTCCCTGCTCCCCCCCGGCCTCATCCCTCTTTCCTCCCGCCTCAGCTTCCCAGCAGCCGCGCATCGCCCTGTGTTTGTACAGGTACACCAGTATTTCGATGATGAACAAAAAAAAGCAGCCGCGCATCGCCCTGTCCAGCCAGTCCCAGCGGTACTTTGGTGGGGTCTCCCTCGCCTGGCCCCAAGTCGGGCTGCCCAGTTGCTCCTGGCCCTCCCCGCGGGCCCACCCAGGCACACAAAGATGCAACGCGACAGGCCGTAGCAGTCAAGTATCCGTCCTCCTCGTTACTGGTCTCTCCTCAGCTTCCTCGTTCCTTGTCGCTCGCCTGCTTTCTGCTGGCGATTCTCCTCCTCCTCCCCCTTCTCCTCCTCCTCCTCCTCCTCCTCCTCCTCCTCCTCCTCCTCCTCCTCCTCCTCCTCCTCCTCTCTGTCCTCCCTCCTCCTCCAGCCAGAGGAGGACAGGTATGGTAGGTGGCACTTGGCGCCCTCGATTGGAGGTGGTGGCACGTGTGCCTCGAGGTGAAGGCACGCCCCCTTCCCCCCTTACGGCCGTGGTGTAATCGTTCGTCCTTCTCTCTTCTGTTCCTTTTTTTCTGACGTTGCACAGGCATGGATCAGAGTGGCTGCGTTCTACCTCCGCACAGCGGGGGCCGGCCCCAGCCCGTCCTCCTCCTCCTCCTCCTCCTCCTCCTCCTCCTCCTCCTCCTCCCCCTTCCCTCCTCCCCCTCTCCTCCTCTCCTCCTCCTCCTCCTCCTCCTCCTCCTCCTCCTCCTCCTCCTCCTCCTCCTCCTCCTCCTCCTCCTCCTCCTCCTCCTCCTCCTCCCTCCTCCTCCTCCTCCTCCTCCTCCTCCTCCTCCCCCCCTCCCTCCTCCTCCTCCTCCCTCCTCCTCCTCGTCCTCCTCCTCCTCCTCCTCCTCCTCCTCCTCCTCCTCCTCCCTCCTCCTCCTTGCCCTCCTCGTTCCTTGTCCCTCTCCTGCCTTCTGCCGGCGATCCTCGCTCCCCCTCCAGCTCGAGGCGGAGCTCTGGGGGCGCGGGCGGGCGCAGGCTCTGCGGCGAGCGACGACGACGACGACGACGACGGCGACGACGACGGCGACGACGACGACGACGACGTCGACGACGACGACGACGACGACGACGACGACGACGACGACGCACGACGACGACGAGGACAACGACGACGATGACGAGGGGGGTCGGCGATAAGAGCCCTGTCCCTTCTCGCCCTCCGCAGCGCGGGCGCGGCGCCGTCTCAAGGGCATTCTGGGCCCTTCCTCCTTCCCTCTTTGCCTCCTTCTTCCTCGTTCCTTCTTTCCTCCTTCCTCCTTCCCCTTCCTCCTTCCTCCTTCCTCCTTCCTCCTTCCTCCTTCTGGGTCCTTCCTTCTTCCTCCTTCCTCCTTTGTCTCCTTCTCCTCGCTCCTTCTTCCCCCAGCCTGGTGGGGACGGACAGGGCGGCCAGGCGCGGGCGGTGGCCCCTGCTGCCGCCGCCGCCGCCGTGGCCGCCTCTGTTTCTGGCTGCGCTGGGTGGCGGCCGCGGGTGCGGCGGACCCCGCGCCTCGTCGCCACCTGCCGACGCGCCAGCCGTGCAGCGAGCCTCGTCGCCTCTTCCTCCTCCTCGTCCTCCTCCTCGTCCTCTTCCTCCTCCTCGTCCTTCCTCCTCGCCTCTTCCTCCTCCTCCTCCTCCTCCTCCTCCTCCTCCTCCTCAGTGTCCCTGCGGGATGGTTCTCGCCCGCGCAGGGTTACAACGCCAGGGCTGCACGCGAGCTGGCGCTGATGTCTCGGAGTGTCGCATTGGAGTCGGCAGCTGCTACAGCAATTTTTGAGGCAGAATTGTCATTCCAGCGCTGTTTTGGAAGCCGGGAGTTCGTTGTCCCTCTCCTGCCTTCTGCTGGCGATCCTCGCTCCGTCTCCAGCTGGAGGAGGCGCAGGGTGGGCGGGGCGAGCCTGGTCTTCAGTCGGGCAGGTCCTCCTACAGGGGGAGTAGTCAAGACGAGTTAAAACAGGTAGCAACAGTTTTTGGGACCACTTTTGTGACTATTGTGGAAGTTGTCTCCCCAAACTCGCCTGTAGGAGGACATGCCCGACTTAACCAGCGAGCGAAGAACGGTATAACATAAACTTTTTCGCTGTCGGGGACACCTGCCCCTGGGCGGCTGGAAAGTTTATACCCCTACGGTGCCACCGTTAACTTGAGCCTTTCCTCCTCGTTCCTTGTCCCCCTCCTGCCTTCTGCTGGAGGTCCTCGCTCCTTCTCAGGCCGGAGGGGGCGGGGGAGGGTCGGCGGTCAGAGCCGTCTCCCTCGCGCTCCTCGCAGGGGCAGGCGAGGCTGTCTTTCCGCGATCCAAGTGGCACGAGGGCTCGCCGCTGTCACAAAGCAGGTCTTCGTGCCAGCCTCCTTCTCGCCTCCCCCCTCCCCCGAGAAGGGTCGGGGCGAGCGCGAAGAGGAGGGGAGGGAGGGCGGGAGGAGGCGAGCAAGGGGGAAGTGCCAGCCTCCTTCTCGCCCCCCCCCCCCCCTCCCCCACGAGAAGGGTCGGGGAGGAGGGGGGGGAGGAGGGGAGGCGGCGAGCGAGGGGGAAGGAGAAGCGGTGGCAAGGGGGAATGAGGAGTGAGGGCGGGAGGAGCAGGAAGATGGGGCAGGCGATGGGCAACAACGGATAAAGAGGGAGGGGCAAGACGGGGGAGGAATCGGGAGCAGGACGGATATGCCGTCGGATACGTATTACTCGTCCAGGCGAGTCCTACAGTACCTGCGCGGGGGTCCAGGTTTGGGGCGCGACCCGCGTTGCGCTATTGAACGGGAAGGGATGTCAGGGGGGCCTGTAGGACCATGAAGGATGCAGACGGAGAGGGAGGATGACGAGGAATGCCAAGGCGGTGGTGATGATGATGATGGTGGTGGTGATGCTGATGGTGATGGTGATGGTCATGGTGATGGTGATGGTGATGGTAATGGTGATGCTAACGCGGATGCTCTGATGATGGTGGTCAGGATGATAATGATGATGCTGATGATGATGGGTAGTATGATGATGATGATGATGATGCTGATGATGATGATGATGCTGATGATGATGATGATGATGATGATGATGATGATGATGATGATGATGTATTCGATGATGGTGCTCACGATTCAGATGATGCTGATGATGGTGATGGCGATATGGCTGATGATGACGATAGCGATGCTATGATGCCGATAACGACGATGATGATGACTGTGCTGCGGATGACGGTTCTACTGATGATTTTGATGCTGATGCTGTTGCTGCTGATGATGCTGATGATGCTGCTGCTGCTGATGGCGATGATGACGATGGTGCAGATGATGCTGATGATGCTGAGGCTGCTGATGATGCTGATGCTGATGACGCTGATGATGCTGATGACGATCATGATGATGATGCTGATGATGATGGTGATGATGATGATGATGATGATGATGAGGATGCTGATTATGATGATAGTGATGATGGTGGTGGTGGTGAGATAAATAATGCTGATGCTGTCGCTGATGATGCTGATGATTATGATTATGATTCTGATGATGCGGATGATGATCATGATGATGATGATGATGATGATGATGCTGATGCTGATGCTGATGCTGATGCTGATGCTGCTGCTGATACTGATGATGATGATGATGATGATGATGATGATGATGCTGGTGGTGATGATGATGATGATGATGATGATGATGATGATGCTGATAATGCTGATGCTGCTGATGATGATGATGATGATGATGATGATGATGATGATGATGATGACGACGACTGTGCTGTTCTGATGCGGAGGGCCCCCCCGCCAAGGTCTTCGCGGAGCTCGCGGGGCCGGAGGGGCTCCTCTCCGAGGGCGGCTTCAAGGCCGCACTCCGCATGGTCGCGGGCACCCTGGACAGCAGGGGGGGCTTCCGTCGTGAACGCCGCCGTCGTCGTCGTCGTCGTCGTCGTCGTCGTCGTCGTCGTCGTCGTCGTCGTCACTGTCCTCCACCTCGTTCCTTGGGTGGTCCTCTTTCTCCCCACCCTCCTGCTCCTCATCAGCATCCTCATCCTTTTCCTGGTGTCACGGCGATGCCTGGACTCCACGAGTCCGATCGGATCCGATCTTTATCTTCCTTTTTGCCGTCCATCTTCTCGTGGTCCTCCTCCTTTTTTATTGTCTTATCTTGCTTGTCCGTATCTGCAGGTGGCAGGGTGACGGACGCTCTGACGGCAGGTGTCTCTTCCTCCTCCTTCTTCTCGGCTCCTTCTCCACCTCCTGCTCCTCCTCCACCTCCCTCCTTCTTCTCCTCACCCACGTCAACCTCCTTCGGCACTTCCTATTGCTTCTCCTACGGTCCTCCTCCTGCTCCTGCTCCTGCTCCTCCTCCTCCTCCTCCTCCTCCTCCTCCTCCTCCTCCACGTCTTCTCCTCCTCCTGCTGGCAACTACGCAGCTGTCAGCAGTTCCGTGAGCTCCTTGGAGGTCCAGCGGAGTGACGTACCGCGCAGATCTGAACTATTACTTCTCTCCCTGGGCGCTGCCTCTTCACCGTCATGAGCTTCTGTGGGATCCAGCGCGCATGCCCGGACTAATGCTTCCCTCCCTGCGCGCTGCCTCTTGCACAACCGTCGGCACTTTCGTGAGCTCCTGCGAGGTCCAGCGGAGCGAAGCCCTACGCAGATCCGAACTGCAATTCCCCTCTGGGCGCTGCCTCTCGCGCAGCTGTCGGCACCCTCGGGGGCATCCTGGGAGATCCAGCGGGGTGTGGCGCTACACGGGCTTGGACCTTCAGACCTCTCTGTCCCTGGGCGCTGCCATTTGTGCAGCTGCCGTACTTTTTGTGAACTCTCGTGATGTCCAGTGGATTGCGAGTCAGGTCAGCGAGTACGTTCCTTTCGCTGTCGCATGTTACAGGTTTGGTGGAACGCGCAGTGGATAGGTTCTTGTGTGGCTCGCATAAGGGACGACGCAACCGATATGTTCTCATGTGGCTCAGCGCGCGCCCGCCCCATGCTTACCTACTCGTATTGGATGAGCCCGCTGATGCTGCGTTTGTTGCGTCTGGGTTGGGTGCATAGAGGATGGTGATGATGTTGTTGCTGCTGCTGCTGATGATGATGATGATGCTGATGCTGCTGCTGATGATGGTGGTGGTGGTGATGATGATGCTGCTGCTGATGATGATGCTGATGCTGCTGCTGCTGCTGCTGCTGACGATGATGATGAGGAGGAGGGGGACGAGGAAGGCGGGGGAGGAGGAGGAGGCAGCAGGAGGAGGAATACGAGGGGGAGGTTGGATAAGCTCCCCACCACCATGTACGAGTCGGGTCTACGTTTGAATTCCGCAGTGCCGCGCCCCACCTCCTCCCCCCTCCCCCTCTCCTCCTACTCTTCGTCCTCCTCCTCTTCCTCCTCCTCCTCCTTCTCCTCCTCCTTCTCCTCCCCCCTCCTCCTCTTCCTTCCCCTCTTCTCCGCGGGCCCCCAAGTCGGCACACCCTTCACACGTTTCGTGGGCTCATGGAGCCCCGCCTACGGCCTCAGGGGGCGCAGGCGTAGGGCGGCACTGCGCCCATTGCGGCACACTTTCCAGACTCCACGGGCGCTGCACCTACGGCCACAGGGGGCGCAGGCGTATGGCGGCACCGAGTCCCTGTCGGTCCACCCCTCGCGCGTTCCCTTGCCCCCTGTGAAGCTCCACCTGCGGCCTCAGTGGGCGCAGGCGCATGGCGGCACCGCACCTATTTTGGCACACCCCTCGCGCGTTCCGAGGCTCCGCCATAGGGGGGCTGAACCTAGGGTCAAGGGGGCGCAGGCGTGTGGCGACACCGAGCCCATGTCGGCACACACCTCACGCGCCTCGTGGCCCCGCCATATGGAGCTCCACCCTTTCTTCCTTCCTTCCGAGCGCCACTGTGGACAGGTCTCCAAGGGCGAGCAGGTGGCACATAGGCCACGGCAGCAACGGCGTCCGCTGTGGTCACTGCCCCCTCTCTCAAGCGAAAAAACGAGGGGGGCGGCCGCACAGGCCCCTCACGCGCTCCGACCACAGAACACCTACGTGCAGACACACAGTGGCCCACAGAGAGCGGGGGGCCCGCAGACTCCTTAACGATCTTCCCAAAAAGCAAGAGAAAGTCAATTCTGGAGCTGAACGAACTGTGGCCTCAGACATCGGACCGGCCGGCCACTCAGAAAAGGATGGAGCTCCACCCACGGTCTTACGGGGCGCAGGCGTATGGCGACACCGAGTCCATTTCGGCACAACCCCCACGCGTTTCGTGGCCCCATAGTGACCTCCACCTACGTTGTTTGTGGGCGACAAACGTATCGCGGCACCGCGCACACTCGGCACCCACCTCATACCTTTCGTTGCCCCGATGGAGCTCTATCTACGGTCTTTGTCGGCCCTAACGTAGAGCGGCACCACGTCCATTTCGGCTCACCCCTCACGCGTCCTGTGGCCCCATTGGAAGCGCCACATTTGTTTTGGCGGTCGATAGGGCGATTGGTGATGGAACATGTGTCAGGGCTCGCATGGCGGCGCCGCCCATTTCGGTGAACCCCTCGCGAGGATCGTGGCCCCATGGGGAGGTCGACCTACGGTTCCAGGGGGAGGGTCCGTATGGCGGCGCCGCCGATTTCATCGCACCTATCACGAGGATCTAACAAACTGACGGTTCCCAGCGGCTGCAACAAATATGCGAACTCTTTGGTTGACTCTTGGAATGCGCAGCGTGCCGATATCTATCTTCAAGGCAAAGCAGACACACTGGCTCCGTGCATGAAGAAAACCATGGCGTCCACCTTGCCAATCTGGACTGCCACCCCCAGCCGGCCATGGATTTCCGATTTCCGCCCAGACGCTGCATCTCATAGAAGAGAGAAGTGTTGGAAGACCCCACGGCGCCAACAAAGAGTATGTAAAGCATTTGAACAAGCATATTCGAACATCAGCCTGCGCTGATCGACACAAATGGCTGGACGATGCGATTGAAAAGGATGGCTGGCGAGAAACTCGGTCTCTCCGGAAGGCGAAGTCAGTACCTCAGGGGCGCTGGTTTTGAATGGGCATGTGGTGGACGGCGCGCACAAAGCAGACACTATGGCAGACTATCCTGAAAAGGTTCAGTGGCATTTTTCTGCAGCTGCCGACCCTGCCCAACTAAAGACGCACGTGCAGGAGACATCAATTTGGAATACATGCGAAAGGCAGTCACATATATTTGTGTTCAGCGTGCTTCTGGAATCGATGGTGTACAACCCGAACTATGGCAAGCTTTATGGCGAGATGAACGTGCTATGGAGATCCTGCGGGAGTTCTGCAATGCATGCGCGACATATCCCAACCGTCCAACTACAGGCCAATTTCCTCATTGGCAGTGGGCTATAAAAGTGCGGGCCAGCATGTTCTTACGGAGGTTCAAACAGGGGGGCGCTGAAGGACGATTACGAGAATCACAATACGTATTCAGATCCAAACGCGGTACGAGCGACACTCTTCTTGGGGCGACGGCTTATCGATACCGCATCGGAGGATAAGGAGGGAACGCTGTTGGTTAGACTTCTAGATTGGAGCAAAGCTTTCGACCGTATCCGACCAGAAAGGCTTCTTCACGCACTCCGGTTTTTTCGATTGCCACCAGCAATGCTCCAGATGGTTAAAGGAGTCCACAGGTCGCGAACACTTGTTTTCAAAATTGGGCATTCGACGACATCCAGCAGAACACAAACAGCAGGAATAGCGCAAGGCTGTCCTTTGTCGCCCTACTTGCTTATCATAGTTCTGTCAGTGTTACTGCAGGAAATTATTGGGCACACCAGGGAAAGTACAATGAAACCGTACTCGGTCACTCCAGGCGCTGCACGCGGACGACACGATGCTGGTGACAGAAAAGCCGCAGCACCTTCAGAAATAGTTGGGCGCAGTCGTCAGGATTTGGAGGACTTTTGATTTGGACTTGAACGTGGGCGAAACCATATTTCTCCAGAGTAGGTCCGAAGCGAACATAAAATGGCCGGACGACGAATTCATCCCGTGTCAAAGCAGAGCCCTATATTTGGGCGGGCTC